ACGTCGGTATTTTGCAGGCGCGATAACACGGAAATGTTGATTTTATCATCGTCAGCAGAGACAATATAAGACATCGACATGTTGGCAACCTTGATGCGTGCGAGGGTCCCGAAGCCCAACGCCCGGAGATGGCTGTCCCAGTTGTCCGACTGTACAAGACTCCAAGCCCCAAACATATCCTGCACTCGTGGCATCTCTTATGAGTCAACAGAATCTTCTACAAAGCGGCAATCTGCGACGCCAGGTGTTTCGACGAGTGGATCCACATGTGGCTCCTCTACACCCCAGCAATATTAGGTGTGATTCCACCGATCACGCTCCAGTCCCTCTGCAGCATCAGAGTTTCCGACTCTGCGGAAGTCGAGGCTAGCACCATCAACAGATACGCTTAGTTGGTCGCCGACGACCTGGAATTTCCATCGGAAATCTGCGCAGCGGTGTCGGGGCGAGTTGCCTAACCCTGCCGACCAGTCCCTGTAGACCGAGCTAGAGGTCTGGTTGGCTTCAACTTCTACGCCGAACTGAGGGCGGCTACGGAATACTTGCAACCCAACAATGCTGTCGCCGTCGAGGTCGAACGAACATGTAACAGCAAGTGTGGATTGCCAGTTTTTGACACACGCTTCGTGATCAACAAGGCCCAAATTATCGTCTGGTAACAAAGGTCGTGATTTGTCCTCAAGCTGCAGGCACAGTTTTCCATTACCGATGAATAGAGAACCCCCGGTGAATGTTATCGAGGTTGAAGCCACCAAGCGCCAGACACCGCACAAAGAAGTCGCATCAGGAGTCTGCAGTCGTCTCCAGCGAAGGGTGATGTCACCCTCCCGTCATCCGTGGAGAGTTTTTGCATCAGGCCGGAGCAACATGTCGGTATGTTAAAAATCAAAATATCGACACCACTGATCATTTACTTTGTTCGGGTTGTAATGGAGATCTATGCAGTGTTTGACCTTGCCATTGAGAACCTCAAAGGTTCCGTGGTAGAATTCCTGAGCATAGACGATGGGCGGTCCGCTGGGGTCGATAGATCCGTCCCAGAGGTGTGCAAGCATCTAGCCATTTCTATACATGATGATTCCCCGAGGCTATCGGCCAAATGGCTGAGTGTTCATGTCCGGCGTACCAGCGTGGAGAGAGACGAGCTCGTACGTACCATCTCCCATCCACTCACTGCAGACTGGCTTGGAAAGTAAGCGCAAGAAAGCGCTCGGTGGATTGACAAAGTACATGTGAGTCCCATCGATGGTGCTGAGACTGAATGCGCTGCTCGTGTGATGAACCCATGCGGAAAGGGGGTAGTTGTCTCGGGAAATGACGTCGTTATTCGGAAATATGGCCGTGATGGGGCAGTTCAGGGTGGCAATTTCTCTAGAGGGGACGTAGGAACGTACCAACACTATTTACTCTTCGATGTGTTCATCTACTAAGAGTGAAAGGCCCATCTCTCACGGAGGTAAGAACTGCTGCAACTCGAATTCGTCGATAACCTCGGCAAACGTACTCGAGTACTCGTATGCCGCAAACGGGTTGAGGTGTACGCTTTTTGCAAACACCATTGGCGGTGGGCATGCAGAAACAATCAGCCGAGTTGGCTCGCACATCTGCTGCGATCACAAGTAAACACATGTCTCGAAGGCAACAATACTTCCCATCGAATGACCATATACTTGAAACGGTCGGGCTTTGCTCGTGTCTACAATATAACAGGCGAGTGTGGAGACTACATGTTGCCATCTCGAGTCGGCACAACCAAGAAAATGGACTTCATGACTCGGGAAAATATCAACCCATCATCAAAAGTATCGAGAGCCAAAGCCAAAAGGTGCACATACGTACAACACGCGATCCTGTTCCTAAGCTGGTGAGAGCTATTGGCACTAGAGCACCTCCGCAGGCTATCCGTCATCGACCTTTGTGTCTTGCAACGAAACGAAGTCACAAATGTCACCCATTGTCTCGTACTCAAAGAGGAGAGCCGGGGGTAGGTCCGTGCTCAATTGAGAGTTCGGCTTTGAAAGCAGCTCCGAAGCTCCAAGGGAGTCAAGGCCAGCATCGGCGAGCCGGGTGTTTCGAGAAGGACGAACGCCAAGGGCGTCTTCGACGACCGCGTAAACGCTCTCTTCGATGTTTGTCGCACTGAAAATTGGTCATGAACCTGAATCAAGATGCAAAGTGTCCAATGATTTTCCAGAACGCCAATGAATTGGTCACTTAGCGCGATAGAGGGATAACAATTCGGCTGTGGCCGGCCCTAGGGCTAAGCCTTGTCACACCACAGCCACGAAAGCCCCGTGCGCGATGGTCCCGCTAAACCCGAACGAGCTCAGACGACCCACCGGTGATTATCGACCGAGGCCTTCAGCCAACACCTCGGTGGGCATCTCGAACGATGTCGACACGATCGAAGACAGGTGCGTGTTCAGCCTACGACCTTTAAGGTTGGGGCGGTTCGCTTCCAAGGGGCGTCAGACAGCCGGAGCTGCGCATTCATAGCGATCAAGCATGTACGAAGGGGTACGAGCACGAGAGAGGCCAACCCAGCGGCAGCCGCCGATGGCTCCAAGTGACCCATGTTCGACTTCAGAGATGCGCACTGTACCGACTGCGAGTTTGTACACAAGGCACCAATAAACGCCCCGACCTAAGACGAAAAATTCACCCACTCATTTGGCGCTTGCAGAAGAGACTACTTCGATCGGATCTCCGAGCGCCGTTCCCGTGCCGTGCGCTTCTAAAGCCCGGTTAGCGGCGTCGCCGTCTCGCACCGTCGAGACCAATCACCTCTGCGATGACCCGTTGGGCGCGGTCAAGCTCGCGCTCGGGCCGTCTTGCTGCACCGCCGTGCCAAGGACAGCAACCTTGGTAGAGACTTCAGAGTCCAGTAAAAAAGCTCCGCAACCTTCGCCGCGGCAGTACCCGTCACCGCGGCGATCGAACGTGTGGCAGCGTCCGAAAGCGGAGAGCATGCCCGCCGCGCTGAATGCTGCGAACGCCGTCACTTCCAGCAGTCCTTCTCCACACACACAAGCACTTGAGCACTCCGCCAGCTACAGAGCGCTACTAGCGACGTGGAGCGCGACGAGAGATGCCGAACATGCCGTATCCACAGGGAAGCACGGACCAGTAAGCCCGAGCGTGTACGAGATGCGACCCGAGGCGACGGCCATGGAAGTTGACGTGCCAGAGTAGACACTCACTGTGTTAGCCTATGTTTGAGCACCAACGTTCCCGGATGTTGATACGGTTGAGCCTGAAACACCGAGGTAGACTCCGACGTCGGTATTGATGAGACGGGCCCTGCAGGCACCTGATGCGTTATCCGCAAACGCGACGTAGCTCATTTCCAGGAGGATGAGCTGCTGCGGGTCTACGGCGGAGACTTCTGAATGTGACATACCCCAAGCAGCGCGCTCTAGACGAAGCTATCCGAGAATGAAATTACCATATGTCGCAGAAATTGCCAGCGAGCTCGGTACGCTCCATCGTATTGGCGGTGTGGTTGCTGTCAGACAACTCACAACAAAGTTCTACAGCTGATCGTGTCGCTTAATACTGCTGGGCAACAATATTTTGAGGTTCGACAGCCAAATTTCCTGGTCGATACGCGCCGTATGCATCGTTCACTCCGATCCCCGAGTTGTATTCGAGCGCCGATCATAAGCTCGCACTAGTGCCACGTCGACGTGCTAGCGCTATTTGTTTGTATCGTCTCCTTGCGACTCCAACTATATCAACTGCATGGACCCAAGTGGCAGTGTCGTGACCATTGAAAGACAAAGCGGGGGGTAATCGACAAAACTGGATGGCAGTTGAGACTAGTTAATCAGAAAGTATAGCGAGAGACACGAATCCGCGAGAGCGATGCTTTCCTGTTCGTTGATGATGCTGTATTCCTGGCCCACCTCGGATTCGACCACCGTGCTCAGAAACGCGCGGCGGCGATGTTCAGATATGAGGTTTTGGACCCTTTTATCAGCCACGTCGAGAAGAATCGAAGCGTCCGAAACCTCGGCAACCAGGCCAATGAGTTTGGCTTCATCTGCGTCGGGGATCCACCCGCCCGCGAGCATCCTCCGCGCCTCGACTATGCCAACGACGCGGGCGACATGTACAGATGAACAGCCTTCCGGGGACACCCGCCATTGAGAAAACGGTAGCGAGCAGGTAGCGTGTCGCGAGGAGACCACGCTGTCGCAGAGAGTGGCCTGGGTCACGCCGCCGCCAAACGCCGGGCCATTTACAGCTGCTACGATGGGCTTCCCAAAGGTAATGAACGAGTCGAACAAAGATTAAGTCCCCACGGTCAAAGTTGAATGAAGTTCCATTGGATGCGTGGGGCGAAGCATTTCGTCGAACTTTGCGGCCGTGCAGAAGTAACTTCCACGTCCTGTGATAACGATTGCAAACGTGCGTAAATCCTCGTTCAGCGTTGCAAGAACTGTGATGAGAGCGCTTGAGATTGCAGCATCGAAGGCGTTATTGTTTTTTGGTCGATTGTATGCAATTCTAGCGACGCCATCAATAGGCGAAGAAACCAGCACGGGCGGTCCCTCGTCTTGCATGTATTCTCGAGCGTCGGCGACTTTCACCGCAGAAGCTGAAGAATAAGTCGCGGCGGCGGCCTCGATGTCTAGGAGATTCGATGCCACGTAAGAAGAAATAGATCCCACGCTTGGGTGGTCGAAGAGCAGCGTAGCCGACACTTCCAGATCAAACTCAGACGAAAGCTATTGCACAAGTTCTGAGGCAGCAAGCGAATCGATGCCCGCTTCCATCAGAGGCGCGTCTTTCCCAATGTCCCGCCCGACGTTCTATTTCACGATCGAGTGGATTCTTGGTCGAATATCACTTTGCAGTATTGTGGATCTGTGCGCAAGTCTGGTTTAAATTGCTTCCGTCAAGACAGGCGACGGCGCAGCCTCGTGTTCCAGCCTGTTCACGTCCACACGTGGAGCTCGACCAACATGCTAGGAGATAGACGCTATACTTGGGTGATCGAATAGTAGCGTCGCGGGTAGTTCTATCTCAAACTCCTTGCCTATCGACTACACTACTTCTGATGCAGAAAGGGAGTCGATTCCGGCTTCCATGAGCGGCACGTCATCTGATATCTCAGTGCCCACGCTCAATGCTATCAGAGACCTCACGATGACATCGGTCAGCTCCGTCGAAGAGCCTCGAGTGGCATCCGGCGTTGCTAGTAGAGCCGACGTCGTGGCAGGCGCCTGAGATGGTGAAGCATGCCTCACGGTCTCGCGGGCCGCAACAGGCGCGACTCTCAACGTTCCACTGGCAGCAACACTGGTTTCCGCGTTCAGCAGTGTCTCCTGAATCAAATGCATTCCATTGGTCAGATTACCACCTGAATGCAGGCATCGTCCGTTACGGGTACGTCAGGAGACGTACGCCTTCGCCGTCCTACGATCAGACAGCACATCATCCACGATGCCGGATGCCATGGCGATGTGGGCACCCAAGGACAAGTCCTCCACGTACATTCGCGTTGCGAGACTGTATCCGACGAGTTTCGGCAGTACAGCTGTTGCCTTCACTACTGGACTGAGGCCTTACGGCGCGACGCCTAGCCGGAAAATCGCAGAGTGAGTGGCGATACGGTGGTCCGTGGCCAGGCCCAACAGCAACCCGCCACCGATGGACGATCCCTGCAGCACGGAGGTTGAAAATATTGTTGCGCTCCGTATTCGGCCGAGGAGACACCCACTGCCGTATACGCCCTGCGCTTTGATCCACCAAGGCGGGAGTGACGATGCAGTTTTGTCGTAGCGACCTCCGGTGCAAAAATGAGGGCCAGTGGCCTGCAGTACCAGAGCTCGAATCTTTGTGGCCGCAAACGCTGCTGTCAGACATTGTCCGAGATTCTCCAGCAAGCTTGAGGTCATGGCATTGAACGTGGAGGGGTCGTCGAGCTCGAGCGACGCTGTATTGGTGTCATTCCACGCGAGGGTGACGACCTTAGCGCTACGTTGTGGTGCTAGTTTCATACCGCCGAACCTGGATTTAGCTGCACTGCTCAACAAACGGCGCACTTGTGCGGCCGGTAGCAGGAGCACATCCCAATTCGTCACCTCTATCGCTCTTTGTTGGTTCTCTTGCGCGATCTCGTCGATGAGCCTCATTCAAGCGGCTTCCAGACTGTCGGCTCGCGTCAAAGATTCAACGGATGTGTATAGCGCCTCGACATCGGAGACCGTCCTAATCGAAATGCCTCGGAGAGATGCGATTGTTTCGAACGTCAAGAGCCCTGAAGCGACCATTGTTTTACCAACCACCTTTTCATTGCCAAGTAGCCAAGTGCCGCGGATGCAATTGTCCTCATTTAAAAAAGATGCGAGTAGGTCAATGCGCATTCCGCTTTTGGGGGCCGCGCCCAGAATCGCAGTCAGGGCCTTTACCTCCGCTGACTCAAATCAAGTCAAGCACACGTGAACTGCGCCACGGCCGGCGACGAGAGCAAGGTGGACACTTGAGTGTTATATCTGTCGACTGGCACTCATAAAAACCTAGAGCTGGACGGTGGGCCCGATACTAGCCCGGGTTTTTGCTAGCGACTTGAAACACGAGACTGCAGTTCAGAGAGTCAAGTCATTCAGTTGGCCAACTAAAGAGAATTTCCGGCTCCGATTTACGACGAGTGTGTAGTCTCAAACAATTTGCGCAGATCACGCATAGGACGCTTTTTCAGCTACTAGAATCATCGGGGCTGCAATGAGAGGCGGGGAAAGCTCTCCTGGGCTGCTCATACTCAGTTCGACAACGACACCAGCTGAATACCGCATTATCTGCTACATGAGCTGGCTGCATTAGACGAAAGATCGAATCAAAACCGCCCGGTCCGAACTCCAACAGCACGAAGATTCTTTGAGTCTCGGCATCGACGGCGACGTGAACGCCTCGGTCGATTTCGCACATCACAAAGGCCGACCGGTGCTACCACGCTGCACAATGAGACGTGAGGTCGACGTAACGACCCCTGCCCATCTTACATCGCCCCCTTCTTGAGGCGCGAGCAACGCATGCTATTTGCGCATCGAAGCTAGCGTGTTTCAAATACCAACGACCTTGATGCCCTATAGGGTCAACGTGTAGCTTCTTAATCGATTGAGAGCGTCCCTTCTGTCCAAGGCAACAGCACTCTCGTTCCACGGATCAGTCATTACACACTCTCCTCGCTGACGTCCTCTCGTACCGACGCACCAGTCCGCGACTTGAGCAAGATCCATTCACCCTTTGCCCGGGATTGCGAGGATTGGAGTCGTGCTGTATCTTTCCAGACCGGGACGCGATTGCAACCGGGTTACCGCATCGTCGAATTCCGCGCGCTATCATCCTTCATGGACAGAACGAGAGCGTAGCACGCGGCGGAGTGAAGCATACTTGCCAGGAGAAGAGTGATTGTCTATAGGCGCCCACACTCCAAACGTAGAATGTGCCCGTCTTGCCAATACGCATGCGTAGTGCGCGAATGAGCATCCATGTTATGGGAACAAGTTTCACTGGACCTGGCATCCTTGAGTGCCTGACCAGGAATATACTCATGATCGTACTTCCAGTAGAAGCATTTGTGTTTCAATCG